ATTTTTTTTAGGGCCAAAATTTTGTTTAAAAATATTTAATTATAGGCCCAAAGGTGATTTGTTCAAAGCTGGGCGTTGGGATGTGGCTTTTATAAGCATGTTTGGTTACTCAAATCTCTCCCACACAGTCGATGTGGGACTCTCCCACCCACTTCCCCTTCTTTTTTTTTTTTTTTTTAATTTTTTTTTATACTCTAAATAAAACCTCTCACATTTGACTTGAAATATATATAAGTTGTATTTTTTTTAAATTTTAGTTGTAGTTATTAAATTTAAGTTATATTTTTTAAATTTTAGTTGTAGATTTTAAATTTAACTTATAGTTTTTAAACTTAAGTTGTTGTAGTTTTTTAATTTAAATAATAAATTATGTGTGGCCCTTTGGCCTTCGGTTGGAGATGGTAAGAAATATGGCAAGAAATATGGCCCTGCACTGTTCATTAAAATATTAATTTCTTGGAGGACCATAGGGCTAAAACGAACTCTTCGGTTGGAGATGACCTTAGAACTCAATTCTCATATGGAACAAGTCCAACCAGCAAAGGAATACAATGCAAGATGAAGCATTTTCCCGAAAACAAGAAACAGAACCGGTAGACATCATTATTGAGACAAGCATGTTTCTTTATCTATGTATGAGTGCAATTGGTCCTTACCTAGCAAGCCAGAAATTGCTCTCATGAGGGCCTTTTATGACATACAAAAGAAATTAAACCAAATATAGCAACATAATTAATTGGAGAAATATTTAAGGTTTAATTTTCTTATTGGCATGGAAATTTTATCAAACAAGAGTGATGGGGCATTAAAATTTTTATAAAAATATTTAGTATTGAGATGATTATATCATAAAAATATAACTTGTTTACAAGCTTTAATCAAAAAGGAAAATTCGAATAAAAATTTAAGTTCATAACTCAAAACTATTACCATGAGATTATCCTTTCAACATAATTGAATCTTCTTTTAAATTGGATAGACCCTGTTTTATATGAACTAAACAAAAAAGGAATTAGCTTTTATATGATGAAACAAAAGACTAATTATAAGGTTTGTAGACCTTGTTTTATATAAACTCAACGAAAAAGGAATAAAACAAAAAAAAATTAGTTTTTATATGGTAAAACAAAAGGGGTTTTGACACACCCCAACCGAGATCAGGGCATGCTGGCCGTCACGTGGAAGTGACGTAGCCATGTGTACAGTGCGGAAGCTAAAAACAGTAATAAAAAAGTACGAATAATTTAAAACTAGCAAATATAATATGATAAAGTATGTGCTAGCGAAAGTAAGACGCTGAATTCAGAGCTTTAAGCCTACAACAGTCCAAAAGAAACGATACAACAATAGTGCACCCGAAGGTGACCCTACGTAGGTGAGTGTCTGTCAGAATGCCGGGACGTCCTCCGGGAAAACCACCAAACCCGCTAAGCTACTAGAACCTGGAGGGGCGCAAAACAAAAGCGTGAGTGGGCAAAAACAAGCTCTTTGAAAACCATTTCATAAAATACATTCTAACCCCTCGCCGTAAAACCTGTATACTTCCCAGAAAATAAACACATATACGTAGATATGCCAAGTCATGCTCAAAGGTATGCCAATCACAACCTCATAATATCATGCATGTGCTCAGGTATAATTCACATCAATAGCATAATAAACTGGCAACCGGAGTCCCCTAAGTGACCTGTACGGCTGAATCTAGAGCTCAAATCTCAAACTTAATCACTAAACCTGCCCACGAGTCGGAACCACCTATAGTGGTCTGTACGACAAGACTGGGTGTAATACATATGAACGCTCTAGTGCTACGATCACGTGAAGGCTGTGCGAATAATCACGGGTCACCTACGAGTCGGAACCACCTATAGTGGTCTGTACGACAAGACTGTGCACCTAACTTGAATCCAAGCTGAGCGTGTGGTGCGGGAGGTGAACAACACGTGAAGGACTGTGCCCTACTCTGGGCGGGAGCACTAACACCGGGGGTGCAGGTTATGAGCTCTCTAAGCACCTCTAATCGCTATTCAATGCAAATGTTAAATAACGCTTACCTGGCACTTACCTATGCCTCCACAGCACCAACATATATATATATATATGACATATGCATGATCGAATATATAATTAAGCGTATATGCCACTAATCATGTATAACCACTAATTACATAAAAGGAATGGCATATAACGAAGCATTCATACTAAATTCTGGGAAATAATATGTATATAGGTATATACGGAAAACAAAAGCCCACTCACTGGTATGTGGAAGGGTCATAGCCCCCCTGCCTCGAGTGTGCACGTTCGTCCTCGGGATACGTGTCACCTATATGCGAATTAACTATAAAAACGTTAACTTTAAAGCACATAACCGTCCGTTCAAAATAACTTCTCATACATTGCTCAAAATGGACAAATGAATATACCAACGTGATCTACACAACCTCACGATCACACCCATAATTTTAAAATAATTTTTGGACCTTCCACGCGCCTTCACGCGCCAAAACAGGCACGGACCCACGCACCCCTACGCGCGGCCACGTGCCAGGCACACTGACGGCGTCAAGTGACGCCGTCAGGAATATTCCGTTGAACTGACGGAATATTTCGTTAAACCTAAACTGACGCCGTCAACGTCCGTTAGGAATATTCCGTTAAACTCAACGGAATATTCCCCTTTCTTCTCCGGCCAATCCCCCTCGCCGGCGCCGTCACCGGAAAACCTGCAACTTAGGTTTTCTCGCTCGTTTTTCAACCGTTTTTCAAGATTTTTGCACCATTTTAACCCTTAGGACTAGTAGAACACAATCCTACAAGTTTTAGAGGCTAAAATCTACGAGAATTCACCTGTCCAAAGCTCCAAAACTCGGCCAACCTCGAACCACGCTTTCCCGACGTCCAAATTTGTCCAACGAAGCACTCCCAAGCTCCTGGGAACCTCACAAACACAACTACAAGCTTCAAAAGTCCAAAAACAAGCTAGAATAAGTTTGCATGAATAGTGCTCAAATCGGAAAACCTCGAATCGACGTGAAAATGGTGGTTTCCCTACCTGAAAATGGTACCACAGTGCTCCTCACAGCCTCACGAGCTCGATGGTGTCCTTGGTTCCTTCGATCTGTCCAGGTTTGAAGGGTTGTGTGAGTGTCCGTACGTTTTTGTTTGAAGAAGAAGAGGAATAGAGGACTCGGGGGGGAGAGAGAAAGAGACAGAGGGTGAGGGAGAGTGAGACAGTGTGGGTGTGTGGCCCAACACATGTCCACACCACACAAAACATCCAAAAACAAACCAGGGGTAAAATGGTAATTTCACACGTACGTTTCCGATAATTCCGGGACGGGATGTCACAGGTTTAACAAAAAGGGTTTGTAAAAAAAACCCTAGAAGGATCTTGACATAAACGAATTTCGACCCCATGACCTCAGGGTTCTGTCAAACTCCACTTACCACTACAGTGCTAACTGACGCTAGGTTACTGTTGCATTTGAATTTTTTTTTTCAAATAAAATTTAAAAAAAAAAAATAATTCTAATTTATATCTAAGCCATATACACCATTTCTCACATAATTTTCACCATTTCATACTATCTTACTTCATTTTATTTCAATTCTTTACATTCTATATTAATTCAATTAAAATAATAAATTACGTAACCATATTAATTCAATTAAAATAATAAATCAAAATAAGGTAGTTTAATTTAAGTAACCATATTAATTCAATTAAAATAATAAATTATGTTTGACCTATAATTCTTTAGCTCCCTCAGTTGGAGATGATAAGAAATATGGTTGACACTGTTCATTAAAATATTTATTTCTTGGTGGGTCAAAGGGCTTCATTAAAATATTTACATCTTGGAGGGCTATAGGGCTAAAGGGAGCCCTTTGACCCTTTTTCGATTGGAGATGGCTTTATTTGGCCAAAGAGGTATCAGGCTGGCCAAATGTAGCCTCCCTCTTAACCTTTTTTTTCTGGAGCTCAGTTCATCAGTTGCAATAATTGATTCAAATTTAACGTCTAGATTTGAAAACATTACAATGTAGTTTAATTAAATTAACTAATAAACTTAAAGTATAAACTTAAAACTAATGAGCTAAGCTATGTTTAGCCCCTCCGGTTGGAGATGGTATATGAGTATGGCTTGACATTGTTTATTTAAAAGTAATATTTTACAAAGCTATAATTCTGGATGGAGCTATATTTAGCTCTTTCGGTTGGAAGTGGCCTAAATAAGGGCAAAATCAACACTACAATGTGGTTATGAACATAGTATATTTTGTGTTTTAGTATATATTGAATTTAAATTTAGATTCACGCATGGTAAAACATCAAAACTTCTACATTAAGGTTGAATAGACTAGGAACACCTCTTAAGAAACACAATAATTTTTCTTTGATTAGGGGGCATTAATAATTTTCCTTTAATTAAAGGTTCAAAGCCCTATCAAAGTTTTGATAAGGCCAATACCATACAAAGTACCATCCTCTCATACGTATTCTTTTTGTTTGACGATTTTTTACATTTCTTATGAAAGAAGCACATGTTACTTCAAATCTCGTAGAAGACGAGTTCAATATTAATTTTATTCCCTCACCATTTAATATAAGGTTTTTTTTTTTATAACCAAAATGATGTTTGAGATTTGTTTTTTAAAACCAAAATGGTTTCTGAGATTTGCCTAACTCCTCACTTTAGTTCTTGAAATTTGAAATTAATAGAAATGGTTTTTAAAATTGTCCACCATCAATCATTTGGGTTATTCAGTGAAAAATTATGTTGAATAAGATTTAAAATGATAAAATTACCCTAACCAACAGTTAAAGGTATTTTTATCATTTTATCCTTGTTTTATATAAATTTTTCACAAAATGATCAAAATAATTGATTATAAACAAACTCAAAAACTAATTCTATTAATTTCATATCTCAGGAATTAAAATAAAAAATTATTCAAATGTCAAGATCATTTTAGCTAAAAAAACCTTAATATAAATATATCTGTTGCTCATAATTTTTTTTAATTTATAAAAAAAAGTAATTTTTCTTTATGTTTACCATTCCATTTGAAGATGGGCACATGACTCCCCATAAAACTTAAGTACATTTGGACAAAAAATAATTAGAGACAACTCCACTAACAACCCCATTACATTTTGACGAAGGCTAAAACCACTACCATTTCCATTAGCTCTGTGCTTATCCATCTCATGAAACACCTTTCCTGGACTTACAGTCTTTACACCTCTGCTACTACCCACCATACCCACCGCTGTCGACGCAATTGGCTCAAAACCTGCACCATATCGCCGACAGAAAAGAACAAGTACAAGTGAAGATTACTTATAGGAAATCCAATCTAAGATTAAGCATGCCTAAGTTCTTAGGTTCTTCAAGTTGTATCGCCTCCACTTTTGCACTCGCAACGTCTTATGAACACTCCGATCTCACACCATGTCCTACGAGGATCAATCCGCATTTGCACTACCATCTGCTCCTCTCCATGTCCTACGAGGATCAATCCGCATTTGCACTACCATCTGCTCCTCTCCGGCTTGCCGTTGTGTTCTTCAATATCTGCAACAAATACCGGTAAGTAAATGCCACATTACACCAAACTCGACGTGAATTACATAAAATGGAACATAAAAATGTTAGCATATATAACCTCTGTCTAGTAAACAATCAAGACTTTCAGTAAAAGCATAAGCCTAGTGGCAGTTCTAGAATTGTTTCGAACTCTGTCAAGGTTTTCGAAGGACGAACACTTTCCAATCATGCAAAGAAGTTAGGTATTACTCAGTATTTCCAATTCAAACAATGATTAGGCAAAAAGAGTACCATTTGGCTCTAAGCACGGGAACATTACTCCCGCCCCAACATCGTATAACGTGCAAAAAAACGAATTTCTGATATCTTTTACTGCAAGTAAAATCACATATTAACTATGAATTACCATTGTAACCTACACGAAACACGTTAACTGGGATAATTTTCAAGCCACTAGTCAGCGGACACCATCACATTTATAATTCTATTATATAAAGTTCCAACGCTTCTGCAACTTTTTTGATTATCAAGCAAAGAAGTAATGGATTTGGTGAGGTTGACCCCACAGCCCCTACCCTAATACCCAATTCACTACACTTTCCACTTTTGATATGAAGTGATAAGATGATACCAAGAAGGCCCCTCCTCAACAGAATCGTACATTTATCCCATCAAAATCATCTTTCCTAGAATACCCCTAAACCCAAATCTTTCATCTGTCACATATTAACAAATTCATGGAGTTGGCTACAATACTTACAAGTACTAGTACAATCGCCATCTCTAACGATAAGATATGTTGTCCAAAGAGCGTATCTGGCCGTCAGATGATGATAGTATTAAGTACTTAAGTATGGTAGCGAGTCTCGCTAGTTTTGAAGGAATTGGATTATTGGATGGGGGTGGTATACTAAGTCCTGGTTTTGTGAAATTGGGTGCCTCCTCACCCGATTACGGATTAGTAAACATGCCATAAAACACCGATATCATAACGATATATGGGGAATGATATAACATACATGTCTAAGCATCTGATTCTCATTCTGCAAAGTGGAAAGCCTCTCATCAAGCTCAGAATTCTTCTGCTCCAATTCTTTGACTCTCACTTCCAAATCAGTCAAATATGCCTTCTTCCTCTCCCTTGCTTGCTGTGCTGAAACTCTGTTCCTCAACAACCTGTTATTTTTGCACCCACAAAATTACACAAATTCACCAAAATACCAATAAAAAGGGAAGAACAGTAAAATCATCCAGAAAGAAGTGCATCTGAACCCACCTCTTCAGCCGCTTGCTTTCCTTGTCTGCTGGATTTCTTCCTCTCTTTCTCTGACTCTCACCAGCCGTTTGGACCTGGTCTGGACCGGCCAACGAACCGTTTTCCCGGGCGGAAGCCGACGCTCCTGCCGATTCGCCGCCGATTTCCGGCACTCTTCCGATCTCCTCGTCGCTTTCCATGCCTAAAATTTAGACAAATCGAGGTATAATTTTTGAACCCAATAAAGTCAGCTCCTTTTTGTCTTAAACAATGCAACAGGACAGAGTTTTCCCGGATCAAAAATCCATTTCCCGGGAAACAAACAACGACCCAGTTTAGAAAATTGTCGATTCTACAAAACCAGATGAGAAAATTCGAAGTCCTTCCGATTTGCAAAGATAAACAGTCGACCACGAACAAACTAAGCCTGTACTTATTGAACAAAGCTTTCTCCTTTTTATCTGAGACAACGTAAAAATAGAAGACTTTTCATCCAAAAAGAGCATTTTCCCGGGAAATAACAACAACCCAACTGAGAAAATCCTGGATTTTACAAGACCCAGGTGGGAAATCTCGAAATTCTTCTGATTAAAAAACAAGTACACAAATTTAAACAAACAAAGCTATACTTTCTGGAAAAGAAACTTGAAAAAACTACATAAAAAGTTGAAAAATCAAAGTCAAACCTTCTTTAACTTCAAGATGGAATGCAGAGCTCGAAGACCTTTCGCTGCTGGAAGGCAGAGAGCTCGCAGCGAGGGAGCTCGTCGCCTGCTCTTGCATTTCTATCTGCTAAATCCAATCAAACAGAGAGAGAGAGAGAAAATAAAACCGAATTTTCTGCCGGAACAAATTTAAAAGAGCGGGATATTAGTGTTTGAGTGAGTAAGTAACAGAGGGGAGAGGATTAGCAGCCTTCAAAGGCTGTGCAGATCTGAGGGCTGTGGGAGTGTGAGCGTGGAGGGTTTTGAGCCATGAGGGGTGGCAGTAATCAAAGGTTTGGAGGGAGGGAGCGTGGAGGTTTAAAGACCGTTGGATTGGGGTTTGATCGGACGGGTTTTGTGGAGGGTTGGGAGGGAGGTGCGGTGAACTGGGACAGTGTGGGACCACATTGTGTGCTGGATGGAAAGTGCATGTATTTCTTGATAACGGGGAAGCATCGAGAGGGTGAGTTTGCCATGGAATTTTATACCACTTTCTTGATTTTTAAGGTTGGTTTGGTATTGCTGTGCTTTAAAAAAAAATTATTTCTATTATACTGTGAGAATAAGTTCGTTTTTACTGCTTCACTTTTTCATCTTCTTTCACCAAAAATTGTGAAAATAAGTTGTTTTTAAGTGTTTACCAAACATCTTTTTGAGCTTAGTTTTTTTTTATACTCACTTTTTATAAAAGCATTTTAGTACTAAGCTAGTACTTAGGATGATGTCTATAACTTGCTAATTTTTATTAACTTTTGATGTTTTTAGCTGATAAGTCTGATTGATTATGATCATGAGCAGGATAAACATTTTTTCATAATTTCTCTGGGCTTTAAAGAGAAGGATAACTACAGTTTGATACCCGTTATTCCTTAACAAATAATTAAAAAAAAAAAAAATCTCTATTGACCTTATAATTTTGTTAATGTGACTATTGCCTAACTGCATAAATTTTGGATATAGACTGCCAACTATTAGTCCAACAGTAATTTCAAAATTGTTACTGGAGTTTGATTTCACAGCGGAGTTTAACGCCTTTTCTTACAAATCAGTTTGTAGGGACAAATTATATACATATGTGCTCGAGCAACATGTATGCTGGATTAAGATAGTTGTTACGATGTATGTGCATATTATTGAGCACAGACAAGTTATATCCGCCTCAAAAGAAATAAATGGCCACTATCAGACCAGTGCTAATAAAGTGTGCTAACGAGCAAGTTGATCACATACAAGTTATATCCATGGGCTCGGACAACTTGTATACCGAATGAAGATGGTCGATATGATTCGTGTACGTATTATCGAGTTGTAGAATACAAAGCTACCTTATTTCTTTGGATGAATGGTAGATTATTCCTTGTCAATCACGTACGAATTGCGATCAAGATCTTTTGAGAGTTGTGGAGGGAAAGGACTTGAAGATGGCCCAATAACAGTTAGGATTGACAACTCCGCATATTCGTGATTTTTGAACCATGAGTTTCCCTTTTGATTTTAGAACATAAATCTACTGTCATAGAAAAGACATTAGAAATCTCTAAATATCCCCTTTGAAGATACCAACTTGAGATGTTAGGTTCCAGGTTGCCTTCCTAATTTACAACAATGCAACTTCATTTTTGGGGTCTTAGATGCAACCGTTAGATCACAACTATAAGGAACAAAGACAAAGAAAATGCGGTTTAGGTACTACGATCTAGTACTTCTTTTATTCATCTGTAAGTGAAAAGTCTTATGGATGTCAAATTTGTTACCAAATTAAACAATATGACTAGATTGTTCTCTGTGTCCTTAATAATAAAGAAATTTGTCTACAAGTCTCTTTTTGAGAAAAAAAAAATTTTTGTCAAAGAATTTTTAGTCGGACTCCCACCAAATTATTATGACTAGTAATTTTGCAGTTATCTAAAATCTCCTACCTCTTTGTTTATGTCGCGTTGTATTCAAAAAAGAAAAATACATTCACAATCAACTTTATCCATGGATTACGCTAACAATAGTGCAAATTGTAAAATACGTATATATAAATGACATATTATTGAATTTAACAGTTTAATATGCATTGAAGAATCCAACTAAAATAAACGAATAGATGTAATTCAAGTATACTATACGTAGACGTATCGTCGTAAACATTGATGTATGCGAGAACTCTACGAATAGATGCCATCACTCGTAGGTAGACCTGATATTTGAGGTGGACCCAAAGAAACTTTACAAACCTTGTACAAAATCCTTCATGACATGAACGAATGGTCTCTTGCAATTTATCAACACATATATCTTTCGACCCTTTTTTGGCTAAATACTTCGTCTTTTCTTCCAAATCATAAGCAAATGGAGATGGGCTTCTACCACCATGTCCTCACCACAAGCAGGGGTTGTCGATTTCATGAAAAGAGCACGAACAACAGTATGGCTGCGGGGGCTTATCGTCCCATATCAACCCTGACGAGCCTTGCCTCCTAAATGTGGAGGCCGACCTTGCTGATGTTGCCATGGCCTCTCTCAATAGGTCGACAAGTTGTGCTGATTTTTGGGTTTTGGTGTGTGCAGCAATTGTGATAATACCGATCTAGATGATTAGGCTGTTTTATATAAGAGAGGACGAGAAGATTCCAAAGGGAGAAGCAAGGCCATCTCAAACTGAAAGTGCTATGTTTAGCCCCTGTCTACATTAAATTATTTTTTAACGAACAGTACTGGATCATATTATATACAATCTCCAACCGAATGAGGTGTTTTTTTACTCCCTCAATAATTTATTATTTTAAGTTTGTTGTTTAATTTTATTTGTTAATTGAATTAAACTATCATATTAAAATAAGATTTCCAAACATATTTTGAAATACAACACCTTAAATAATATTAAAAGTACAACTTAAATACTAGAGATTACAACAACTTAAATATTAAAAGAGTGTTTGCTATAAATAAAATGTGATGAATTGAAATAAAATAAGGATAAGATAGTATAAAAGGTGAAAATGATGTGAGAACTAGTATAGGAATAGCTTAGGTATTTGAAAAAAAATAATTAGAAATTTTAATTACTTTTTCAAATTTTGTCTTATAAAAAAAAAAATCACAATCCAATGACTAGCTAACGTCAGCTAGCAAGTGAGTTCCTGACTGCTTGGGCCCTTAAACTGGCTCGCTAGCTATGTTTGCCCAGCTCGCTGGCCATTTAGCTGGATTTTAACCCTATGGGTCCCAAATTTTTTTGACCCAGGCTTCCATTAGAGATAAATTTTGTATCAAAACGAAATATGTTTCGACTTATAACTCTTTGGCCAGCTCAGTTGAAGATGGCCTGAGCTGGCTCAAGAGAATAACACGCTTTCGGTTAGTTTAATCCTATGCTTAAAGTTGTTGCTTATACTGTATGGGTGTAAACAAATTCTGTTTGTCTTTTAGTGTAAGATCAAATTTGTCTTTTCTATAAACGCCTTCAGCGGTTTCAACCTGTGCTTTCTTCTGTCTCTTTTGGGCAGAAAACTGTTGTTGTCTGGCATGAAAGGGCACCTTCACTGCACTTTCAAGCTCTACAGAATCTGTTGTCGTTTCCACCACGGTTTCTCCGGTTGTTTCCACAACAGTTTCTACAGACTTCGTTTGGGACACAGACATCACTGTCGCAGGTTCAACAGGCAAAGCAGCACACATCATTAAAAGAGTTGGAGGGGGCTCACGAAGCAATTCGAGAACAACAGCCCTGTCAAGACAAAGCTCGGATGCAAGAGTTTTTATCTGCAACAAAACGAAGAATTATAGTAGTATACTTGCCAGCATAACGAAAAACCCCCAAATAACGGGAAGCAAATTTTCACGAACGCTGAACAGGAGTTTACATAAATAGGAGTAGACATATAATCTCCACATTTCCCCGGCCTCCTTAGAAATCGAAAACTTATTTCGAATCAAAGAATCACTATCAAGCAGGATATGAAGCATCCAATATCTTCAATTTCGTCTTCAGGACGGTAAATGTTTTCAAAGATTCATCAATACAAAACCCAAATTCAAAGAGAAACCGAAACACTTACGCTTGTTTTGCGCCGACCAACTTTCAAAGCAGCAGCCAATCTCCGCATCTGCCAAGTCTTCAGCTTCACCGGAGTTTCCTCTTCCTCCTCCTCCTCCTCATCGTTATCATCATCACCGTCAATTCCCAGTGCCTCTGCCACTTCCTGCTCGAGCTTAGCAAGCTCTTCTTCCGTTAAATCCTCGTCGTCAAATGACGCGTCGTCATTCTTGAGATCCTCCTCCAGCAACCTAAACAGCGCATCAATCGCATCCTCATCCACATCCTCCTCCTCCACCTCCTTCACTTCCTTATTCCCCAAACTTATCTACATTTCACCGCAATTCGAAAGCACAATTTCAGCAAAAAAAACAGCAACTTTTTGAACAAGCTCATTTCTTAGTTCTTACCTTCTTTATCTTCGTTTTGGAGGGCGCCACTTTCTACCGTTCGTGGCGGGAAGAAGACGGTAACGGTAGAAAGTGAAGCCCCTTGAGCGTGTCGAGCGCGGAAGCGAAAGCCATTTTTCTACGGGAATGTTTTCCGTCAACCGGTGCCGTTTCAAAGGTCGCAGAATCGCACCGCTTCCAGCTCAAACACCGATGAATAAAAAAGGCGGCGCCTTTCTGCCTCTTGGTTCAGGTTTATCTACTTATTTCCAGAGCGTCTAAACCATCTATAAAAAGAAATATCAAATTATAAATAATAGTTGATGTGACAATGAAGGTTTTATATTAAATTTTATACTCTTTTAACCGAATTATCAAATATTTTTTATTATTAAATAAAGTTTTAAATTTAACTCCAAATCACAAAGTCTTTAAATCCAATCAGCAAATAACACTTCAGTTGGAAAGACTTTTGATGTTAAAAATGCACAGTAGTTTAGACTTTGTGATTTGGAGTCAAATTTGGGAGATGTCAAAATGGAATGCCATTGTGTATATTTAACATCAAAAGTCTCTTAAACCGAAATGTTATTTATTGATTGGATTTGAAGATTTTGTGATTTGGATTCAAATTTGACATTAATGTCAAATTTATTTTTAATTCATTTTAATGGTGGGTCTTTTATTCCACTAACATTTCAACCAATAAAAAATTTGTTTAATAATTACAATCATTTAAAATT